ACAGGCAACCCGCCCGCCGCCTCTCCGCACGCGGCCTTCGTGGACACGCCGTGCCGCGGCCGTCAGGGAGCAGCTGGCCCGTCAGAGAAGGCGTGCGCCCCTGCACGAGGGAGTCTACCGCCTCTGAACAAACTACCTCGTAAAAGGAGGACTCAGCAGCCCACTGCCCCCCCCCGCGCCTGCCCTCCCGAACGCTGTCAGCGACATCACTGCTTCACAGTATTGGGTTCACAATGTGTCACTATTTAAATCACGTGCTTTGCCTACACGTTCAGTCAAAAACCGAATTTTAAAAAGCACACGTCTTGCCATGTGTACAGACAGGACTGAGGGAGCTGGATAAATGTTCACAGGACAGATGAATGCGTTTCAAGGCCCGGCTGGGCTAGCAGGGCCCACGTGCCACGCTGTAACCTCGGGAGAGACGACCTGCTTTCCCTCTGAGGTCACAGGGCTGGGGGCCGTGACCTCGGACCTGAACCAGGGGTCCGGCTCCAGAGCCTGTGCTCTGCACCTCGGCTGTGCAGCCCCCCTTCCCCGTGAGCCGACTCGCTGGGTGACAGTCCTGGCTGTGTCTGCACCAGAGTGACCCAGGGCTCCTACCTGCACCAGCTGCTCTGTCGAGGGGGAGACTTCCATTTCCTTCCGAGTCACCCCAAAGCTGCCTTTCAGGCTGGTGTCCTGGACCTGCTGCTGCAGCAAGGGCACCAAGTACCGCAGTGTGAGCAGCGCTCCCAGGACCAGCAGGGACGGGTGCTCGCCCTCGACGGGAACCAGCAGCCCTGGAAGGCAGCACAGCTCTGCATCTGGCTCGTGCTGGGCCTCTGGCCTCTGTGGTCGCAGAGTCCCCGGCAGAGCCCTTTCTGAGCTGGCGGGGCGGGCAGCGATGGCACAGACGTCGCCATGATAGCACACGTGTGCATCACATCCCGGGGCGAGGTCCCGGGGGGCTTCAAAGGGAGACTCAGCACCGGGCTGAGCAAGCAAGGCCTGCACACTGAGTCTGCTGCATGTGGGCGTCGGGCGTCCTTGCACACAAATGCCCATTTGCTGGTGCTTTCAGTTCCACGTGTGCAGGAGAGGCCGTGGCAGCCACGCCGCGCAGAGAACCAGGCCGGAGGCACAGCTTCAGGCCGCGGGGACG